CGAGTTGTTTTGATCTTTGGTCGACTTCAAGAAAACCAGCTTTAGAAAGTTCGCTGTAGCCAACATGAGTTCTTGGACCAGAACAGTTGATATATCTCACCATTTTGTTCTGTATAATCTTCAACTTCTTTTGATCTGACTTGTTTATTGCCTGAATATTAGCAATTTCCAAGTTTCCAACCCGCTCTACCCAGGATAATATGGATAATGATGCTTCATATAGGGGCCCCTTACAGAAAATGTTCATGGAAAGCACTAGAAACGACGAAAAGCAAACACCGTGTTCGTAATAAACCATTTTAAACGCGACCCCCTTAACGAAACTAATGTAGTCTATAAAGTGAAACAAAAGACAAAAAAAAAAAATCATTTTTTGTAAGATCAAACGTTTATCAATATGTATTAAATACCATTTCTCCCTTTTTCCTATTAATATGATGTATATTCTTATCCCCCAAATCTTGAAGGAAAATTATTTGCGTTATATGAAATTCAACGATATACAGTGCGTCCCAGAAAAAACGAAACCGAAAATTATTGATGTTTTATCATAACTTAATCATGTTTAATCACAATTATAAGTAATAAATGACACATAATAAGCTTAGACCTTCCTCTCATTTTCATTTGATGCAACTCATATGATGCATAATTCACGCATGAGTGATTAAAACAATTTGAAGAGAGGTTACAAAATAGTAATTTGGCGGGCAGTATCTGAATTTCAAAGAGAAAATCACATTTCTAGAAGGTTTATTTTTTTGCCCTTTCATATGACACCTCAATCAGGAAAATTGAGCCAGGAATAACAAAGTTCGGTTTGTTTAAAGTAATGCTTGCATTTCCATAATAAACGCATTCGTTTTCACTGGCTGCCTGCCGAAGCAACAAACAGAGTTGAAAAAGACTTAACTCCGTTTTGTTGACGATCAGCGATGTATTAAGCCTTCTTTGTGCATGGCTGATCGTCAACGAAATGGGTTTAAGTCTTTTGTCAACTCTGTATAACATATCACATATAAAGCATTTGTTTGACTTTGACGCACAGTAATTTAATTCAAATGGTTGTTGACATCAATATGAACCAAAAAACACAAAATACTAAGTCATATCTTTTACCCCATTCAAATAATCGTTTTAATGAACCTATCTATCCAATATTTTATTTGGTAGCATTCTTTATTGCATTCATTCACTACAAATGAAAATATCATACATCTTCATTGATATACTTAACATATCAAAATGTAAAGAAATTGTACAGCCGTTAGAAAAACATAATATAGTTAATTACACAGTACATCATGTCTTCAAATTAATTATACTGAATGAATGTTATAGATCAAAGCCCTTCCCCTCCCCTCCCCTGACAAACAACTAACAATCGTTGATGAAGCTCTTCATGATGACCATGGCCCGACTGTAGATGCTTTTAATATGCTTTTAAAACGATCGATATAGACTTACATCCTCAACTCAACCATCCTGCTGTAAACTTGAAAATGTTAAATGATACCTGAAAAGCAGGGGGTATCCAGAGGTACTTATGAATATCTATTTTCACAGCTTCTGCAATGATCCGCGAGCTTGAGATACTTTGATCCAGAGAATTTTTTCCCCAATCGAAAAACACAAAATTCGAAATCACCGTCTCTGACGTTTAAAGAGCCTGGTTTTCCTGAAACAGTGTGAACTTATAACGAATGTTCAATTTAAGGACACATTGTCGATGCTTTTTGACAAGCAACATCGATGAGTCATCGAAAAATCCTCCTCCCCACGGGAAATGGAGAAAAAAAAACCTATACCACGTGGGCAAAATGACATAATTAAATATTTAGTTCCCAGGTATCTCACGTTCTTGGGATATAAATTCAATTTATTTCGGTTCACAATTCACGTGACCCACTATTCAGCTTTGATTACATTAACTACTACTACCACGACGACCACACCACTACTTCTACTACTTCTACTACTACTACTACTACTACTACTACTACTACTACAATTACTACTCTTACAACTGCTGCTAAAAGTACCACTACTACTACTACTACTACTACTACTACTTCTACTACTACCACACCACTACTACTACAATTACTACTACTCTTACAACGCTACCACTACTACTACTAGTACTACAATAATATTACTACTACTCTTACAACGCTACCACTACTACTACTACTACTACTACTACTACTACTACTATTACTACTACTACGTCTACTACTACTTCTACTACTACTACTACTACTACTACTACTACTACTACTACTGATACTACTACTACTACTACTACTACTACTACTACTACTATTACTACCACTAGTAGTAGTAGTACTACTACTATTATAACTACTGCTAATTCTACTACTACCACTACAATTACTACTACTACTCCTACAACTGCTGCTAATTGTACTACTACCACCACTACTACTACTACTAATACTACTACTACTTCTACTACTACTACTACTACTTCTACTACTACTGCTAATTCTACTACTGCTGCTAATTCTACTACTACTACTACTACTACTACAACTACTACTACTTCTAATAACACAAAATATTGTCTTTAATGATATAATTTATGATCAGGTTGGAGAATAATAATAATAATAATAGTAAGAAGAAGAAGAAGAAGAAGAAGAAATGAAGAAGAAGATATAATGATAATTTGTACCCCTTTCAAATTTAAGACCCTTAAATGGACCTTAAAATGCAATGAATTTTTAGATATTTTTTATCATAAAAGTTTATTTATATCCATATATCGTCATGTAGTGTTTTCTTTTTTCGTGTTTTCAAAATATCTTTTTATTGTCCCTTTTTAAATGCTCTTGAGCTTTGCCTATGTCAGTTATGACTATTGATGGCTCCACGGAAACCATGAAACCCAGCACAGATATCAGATGAGAAATATAATTCCAATTAAAAGCAATTTCTCTAAAACAAATGAATCATTTAACTCACCTGAATTGGGGTTTCATACTTTTTTTTTTACAACACGGTAGAAAGAATCAGAAAAATAAAGAAACGTAGTTTCTTCGAGGTACCAACGCCTTTTTAGAATGGATACGCTTGGAATTGTAAACAAATAAACAAATGGGGCATTATTCAGCGCGTGCGTTACACCGTAAAACAAAACCATTTGAGCTGGAAACTTTATGACGAATGCAAATTTATTGCGTGATTTGACATCATCAAGCCGCAAAAAAAGGTGAACGATTACAAAATATCATCAGCATGAGTGCCCCGACATACTCCGGCCGCAATCACGCACATAATTAGAAAGCTTAAAGTAAAATAGTCTATGCGGTTATGACAAAATGTTGATGTTTTTTTTTAATATATCATCCCCTTAAAGCCAAATGATGTGTACCTTACAAATTTCTGTTACAAGTGCTTGTTTATTTTTTCGATTGTTACATCTACTTACACCACAATCGGGCACTTAAAATATTGAATCCTTCCCTTTTCTTTGTCTTTAAAAAGAATATTGTTAACTCTCGAAATACCACATTGTGCGTCTATAATGTACAATGTACTATCATGTTGACCGGTTACATACCGTTTCTCCGAAGGTTTATAATTCCCAATGTTCCTAATTCCGAAGGCTCCTAATTCCGAAGGCTCTTAATTCCGAAGGTTAGTTACTTTTAAGGTTCATAGGTACCAAGATTCTTATTTTGTTAATTTATTTTTTTGTAATTCCGAAAAATGAAATAAGGTTCATAATTCCGAAATATCGGAGGACCTTGGTATTGGTTCTTCCGAATTACGGACCCTCATAATAATATAGTATTAATGACTGCTTTGAGAGAAATAGTTGTTTTTATACGCTCAAGGGAAGGTTAGAATTGTGCTATTACCCGAGGCGTGCCGAGGGCAATAGCCCAATTGTAATCTTCCCTTGAGCGTATAAAAACAACTATTTCTCGAATATTAAAGTAGTCATTAATACTTTTATATGCCGAAAAAAAAATAGACTAAAAAATAAAAAATAAAAAATAAAAAAACTTTTGTCGAAGACGGGATTCGATCTCTTGCGTACAAAAGGTGATGTAACTAAAATCACCGCCTTAAACCGCTCGGCTATCACGCTCTCTTACCATACATAGCAGTTTTTTCTTATATATACATTAAAATGGATTAAAAACGGCTTCGCGTGGTGGATGCTTCGCGGCTGCTCCATTAAACAGGCCCTTCTTTTACTTTTGCAATGCATATTGGCACGAATTTAGATCAAGATCTATCGGCAGATGTTGTTTTTTTGTTTTTGGAAGTTTATTTTCGTCTTCATGTCAACAATGCAAGATAAAATTGTCGGTAAGATCGATCGACATTCAATTGTATTGAAATTACCGACCAATTCTTCGCACACGTACGGTATCCTCGATCGCTCAGACCATTTTTTAACATGTAAACCTATGGGGTAACCATGGAGACTGAACTATTTTCCCAATAACCATGGTTACTGGGATTATAGAACTGTTTTAACCATGGTTACTGGGAATTTTACAGAAATAGTTGAAGTTTATGAATGCAATTTCGACCAATCAGATGGCTGGATTTCTTAAGTGAGGTATATAACGAATCCTATTTCACTTGACTTCCGGTTGATGAAGCTTCGAATAAACAACACACTTCAGACTAGCACTATAGATTGACAAAAACAACTATATAGGTACACACTAGTCTTACCACCATGATTCATACTCCTAAACAATGATTTCCTTTAAGATAAAATGTCGATTGAGTATTCAGTTAGAACCCTTGTATATTCTGAAGTATAATCTAAAGTCGGCCCTAGGGCTAGTGTTGAAATTTACTTTCCTGAAAACGCCGCTCTTGAAGAAGCTCCAGATAGGTTTCACAGTTTCATTCTTTAGTCCATCAAGTCTAACATTCGCCTTCGTGATAAACATAACGGATCGATGCCTTGTTCATTAATGCAGAATGGATCAATACAGTTTTCTTGGGTATCATTTTTCTGCTATTGAAGATGCTATGTTGGTGGTCAAACTGGGATCCTTTGATGACGTGCGCCCTTTTCCGAACAGAGAAAGGACAGCGCGGCGAAAGCTCTTGTTTCCAAAGCCATAGAGATAGGGGTTAATCGCCGCCACGGAGTAGACCAAAACGTGAGTCAAAGAGAACGCAAGTGGGCTGACAGCTGAATTGGCGTTGAAGGTGGAGGTGAGGACGAAGATGACAAATGGCAGAAAATTGATGACGAAGCTGATGATGAGGATGAAGAGAAACACTGCGGATTTCACCTCACGCTTCCACCGTGCTCGCTCCCGACGGGCAGCCACTACGTTGGCTTCAATATGATCACTCGTTCCAGAAGGTCCAATGGTCGATAAATCGACAACGGCGCGGATGTGCCTACGCAGCACCACGAAGATCCGTCCGTAGATCACTATCATAGGTATGACCGGCGATAAGAAGTTGGTGAAAATGAAGGCCACGTAGTACTTCTGCACGATGACAAATAGTCGGCAACCAACCGTAGGATCGACCTTTCCATTGTAACCCAACGGCGTGGCCAGAGGGAGGAACGCACAGAATGCTGCATAAACAAAGATGCCACCAAGAGCGAAGGCCACCCGTCGATTGGTCAGGATTGTCGGGGCATGGAGGGAATGGCAGATGGAGATGTACCGCTCAATCGTCAGGGCAAGGACGTTCAGCGTAAAACAGATCCCAGCGAAAAACGCTATACACAGAAAGGTGATGCATCCTGGATTCTGCGTGATCACGAAGGCATCCAGCAATCCCTGTAAGGGGTAAACCACGGAACAGATAACCATTCCGACGGCGAACGTCGTCAGGTTGAACACGTTCGAAATCGTCCGTAGGTCCCTGCAGCGGACGAAGGCAAGGATGAGGAGAACGTTACCAATGGTTCCAATGATTGATATCACGAAGTTGGCGGTGATTGTGACGACAACGTACGAACTGGCCATGGTCTTAGCCGAGAGCAGTTTCACTGGTTACCACGTTGTCATATGTGATCAGCGTTTCTTAAATACTCGATGGTCACAGGAGAAAACTAGTGAAGTGAAGTAGAATTACTTTCCAATACAATTGTCCGTCTTGTATTGACCATGGTCAATTGACCACTAAGTATTCTAAGTGTAATAAAAGGCGCAATAGTAAAGCTCAATCAGGCACGGATTCTCTTTATATCGGAGTATATACAAGTAGTAATTAATGGAGGAAAAGGTATGTCCATTAATGTCAATCAAATCTGAGGAGCCAGGACTTAGAGTTTCAAAGTAGAGGTAATGTTCGAAACAAGTGTCCCTCCTCAAACGGTAGAAGTAGAGGAGAAGGATGATTCAGGCATACATCAAAAGTGAAATTAATTTGAAGCTTTCACTGACTTGATTTGATTAAACCACTGAAATGATAAACTAACATCACATCCAGTTCTTGACATTTCTAAAATATCGGTATAAACGTTTCCCACTTCCTTTCTGCGTTGTTACACGTGCTTGTCATTACTCTTCGACGCTTTTTGAAACGACGCCACCTATTGAAAAATGGCTATATGGAATGCGCCTGTTCAGTTTAAAGGACAATCCTTTATATTCTTAACACAGGCTGCACTTACCGTTACTCTGACTGTCTTGTGCACTCTTGATAAAGCTGAAAATGGACACAGCAAGCGCTTTGATTTGAAAGAATATTCCACAATCATATATATGCTTTACACCAACAAATTACAATAGAGCAATGCTGTATAATGTATATGTATATATATATATATATATATATATAAAGGGTATATATCAATTTTCTCCCCATGACCTTCAAATATTGTGCCACTTCCATTTGTACAAGAGGTGCATCAGGGGAAAACGATTTCAAATTTTATCAGGAGTTTGACATTCGGAAACATGAGAGAAGTACATGACGTTCCCTAAAGAGCTATTTCAATAATAAACGCTGGTCGAGGCCATTTGTTAAAATGTAATCAAGCAATGGATAATGATTAGAAATGATATGGAGGGGATCGCACTTTTTCCTTAATTTTCACGTTGATAAAGAAGCCCCATGGGCTATGTATAAAGCACACTTGTCCCTAATGAAATGGTAGAAATCATTATAATTGAATGTAATTGAAGTGGAGGAAAATTAGAACGCTGCACTCCTTAGTGAAATAAACACATGCTTTTCATTCTTTACATACATTTAATAACTGAATTATTCATACCCTTTCCAATTTTCGTAATTGTTAAAGTATGCTTAAAATAGATTTCGTCCCGACTTGTGTTTCTTAAGAACGTGACATATTAAAGCTTACATCTAAAAGTAATCAACAAAGGCCCTAATTAAGTCAGTCTACCTTTCATTCATGATGTTAAAATAGAAAACCACATCAAATTTCCAAAGGGTATAAATAATTTAGTAAATTTGTTCCTCTTCAGAGATTATTTATCGACAATTCTACAATTCGACAACATTACAAGCATTAAAAGGATTTATTAACTGATTATAAACACATTTATAGCAACAATATCAACATTAAGAGGATTTAAATACATAATTCATAAATATCACTTTACTAATCAGTCAAAATCACAGGGTAAAATGTTGAAAATAATTCGATAATTATTTTGTCTTAATTCTGCATTACATTCATATAATACTCGAAGTTCTTCTAATTTTCATTAAAAAAAATAAGACGAAATATAACTAAGAAATCAATATTTTTTAAAGGGCCACAATTGTGGAATAATATACCTCAAGATATAAAATCTAGTCCATCAATTAACGTTTTTAAAAGGAGATATAAATCATTTTTAATCCAACAAAACTAATAAAGATTGATTATATACACGGTCTGGTTTTTGTTTTGTTCTTGTTCCCCCCCCCCCTCTTTTTAGGCTTTTTTTTTAAATTTAAATTTAATTTTTTTTTTAAATCACCTTCTCAAACAACAATATAATACTGTATTATACTTTATTACTGTTTTGGTGGCAGCACCAATAAAGCCTTTGACTTTCCTAGCTGTCTCCACATTCATATATATATATTTTTGTTGTTGTATTGTATTGTAAATGTTTCTCTTTAACTTGTACGCTATGTTTTGTATTTTATATGTTTGTTATGATGTTTTTATGATGAATGAAATAAAGTTCAATTCGATTCAATAATGCGATTTTTTTTAAATGCAGTTCGTTTTCAAAAACGGGCCGTATCGAAAGACTAATGTACGTTCTCGCTTGAAAGTAGTTTAACATATACATTTTATGTACTGTGCGTATGTAATGACTATATCCATATCTCAGTTCTATTCAGTTCTATTTGAACAATTATAATCTATACCAAGAATCAAGAGCCTTTAATTTAATATCACTGATTGTTTGAAGTTACAGCGAATAAATGCATCACTGCATTTTCAATGTCATATTAGGCCGTAATAACGCTGTAAATTACGGCGTTATTACGCCGTATATAATAAAAATTTAAAATATTGCTGGCGGAAATCATCCATGGTACATTTTGGCATTCCGATTTCATTACTTTAGGCATGTTTAGCCTAACAAGGCTTTAATAAAAATAACAATCTATGTAAACTTCAACGCCTTCCGAACTCTGCAGCCAGACGGGTAAGCCTCACTAAGAAAGACTGTCACATTCAAGTCTCTTCACTGGTTACCTATCGAAAAGCGAATCACCTTCAAACTTCTGTTGCTGGTCGACCACGCAGTCCATGACTCCTCACCCGGCTATCTACCGAGCTCGATCATGGCATATCATCCTTTTCGCAGACTAATATCACCAGACTCTTTACAGCTTCAAGTTCCCCGGTCCCGGCACTCTTGGGGTGACCACAGCTTTTCCCACGCAGGCCCATCTCCCTGGAACAATCTTCCTCCTCTTCTTCGCCAAGCTTCCTCCACTAGTTCCACAATTACTCAAAACAGAAAGTCGCTTCTTACCCCGTATGTTAAATTTTCTTTAGGTTGCTTAAGTTAATCACACTATGATTTCAATAATTTTATTTGAAATTTGTTCTGTATCTTATGCTTAATTTTTCCTTGTTCCTTAAACTATTATAGTTATATCAATAATGCTGTATCTTATATTCACTTAGTTTGATGCCTTGCGTTCAGTATGTTAAGGTTGTGTAGATATATTGTACCTTTTTTTGTATTCGTATTTGCATTTGTATGTATAACGCCATGAGTGTCATGTGTGACGGACCTTGTAAGCTTTATAGTCACCATTATTATGCCTCTTATTATCATTATACAACTTAGGTAGAATAAAGAATAGATTCAGAATTGTTAATATATTTCTATTCCTTGACATGTAGCCACGACTTATGTTGATATCTGTCTTTGGCTTATAATATATACAAAGTCATGTATAGTTTTTGGCTTTAAATCAAAGCTCAGTATCATTTTGTATGTCAATGAGTATACTGCAAGATAATTATAGGAGGTGAGGAATGGAAAGATAAATTGGTCTAATAAAAATGATCTTAAACTCAATAGTAACAAAACTGAGGTTCTACATTTCACCTGCAAATTCAGGAAAAGTAACCAGATGCATGACATAGAAATAGACAATACCATTATCAAATGTGTCGATGACGCTAGAAATTTTGGCGCGCAGCTAGACAAAAATCTTACAATGAAAGCTCAAGTCAATAATGTATGTAAAACCAGTTTGTTTGCCCTTCACAAAATTGGAAAAATCAGCCAATTCCTAACCAAACAAGCTACAAAGCAGCTGGTTCATGCCCTGGTTATAGCTCGCATAGATTTTTGCAATAGTTTACTATGTTCTCTTCCTGATGTTCACACCAATAAATTACAAAGAATTCAAAACTCAGCAGCCAGACTAATCACTAGAACTAAACCCAGAGAACAAATTACACTCATACTTGAACAATTGCACTGGCTGCCAGTTAAGTCCTGTATTAATTATAAGATCCTTTAACTGATATATCAATGCCTAAATGGTACAGCCCCGTCTTACCTCCAAGATCTCATTCTACAATATACCCCTATAAGAAAATTAAGATATTAAAATATTATGGCACTCGCTCTTTCAGAAATTCTTCGGCCGAATTGTGGAGCAGCTTGCCTGATATTGTCAAACAGGCAAGCACAACAGAATCATTAAAGACTCTGTTGAAGACCTATCTTTTTGTAAATTGTTAATTTTGTTCCAGCTGTTTAGTGACTTCTGTGGTTATAGTATCATGTACATATTTAATATTTAATTTGATTTTCATTTAATTTTCATGTTTAAATTTGTATTACCTGAATGTACAATATATTACATGTAAGCTATATAGGAATTGTGTATCATTATTGTTGTTTGTAATCAATTATTTTCATGTATCAGGCATAAATGTTCATTTCTATTCCGCCCTTTTCCTTCTTTTCTAAGCGCATAGGGACTTTCTTTGTGTTAGTGATATGCGCTATACAAATAACGTTCATTATTATTATCATTAAAGAGAAAAAATTAAGGAGAGAAAGAGAACAAGAGAGAACGGGGGTGAGAGAGAGAGAGAGAGAGAGAAAGAGATGGGAGAGAGAGAGAGTGATATATATATAGAGAGAGAAACAAAGACAGAGAGAGAGAGAGAGAGAGAGATAAGATGAAGAAAGGAAATTAGCAGAAACATACTGAGTGGATGGGGGAAAGAAAACAGAACTTATGACAGAGGATGAGAGAAGAGAGGGAGATATATATATATATATATATATATAGGGAGAGAGAGAGAGAGAGCTCCCACGTAGCAAGAAAAAACTCTTATTTCATAATTATTTTCCCCTTCCAAGATGACTAATTATGTTTACATGTCGGCGCTAGACAGTGATAATAACCCATGTTTCATTTTCGTGAATGTAATGATGACATCTTCAAGCAAGAATAATTTATTCATATTGGTGAATTATGATGCCTTAATTAGGCTTAGAATATATAATTGTTTTATTTTCTCGACTTAAGAAGGACATCGTAATTTCTAATAATTCTATAGTATGAAGAAGAATCGCTTTATGATTGCTACTTTTTAGAGAGGGTCGCGGAAGTTATTGCCGAATACAAGCTCTTGATTTGTTGATGTGACCTCGATGGCAAAATTAAAAAAGATATAATCTGTCGGAAGAGATTGGTGAGAATATTGACCTCTATCAGCAAGGCTGTCCCACTATCAGCAAGGCTGGGATAATGATTATTATCAATATTTTTATCATCATTATGCCCGACTCAACGTGAAAAACCTTTGCACCAGGCAGAGACGCAGACATATTAAAGCAAGTTGAAGAAAAAAACTACTCAGACAAAGGATATCATTTTCTTCTTTAAGTTTAAAGTAAAACCTCGGTCACAAATGCCATTACGAACTGCTACGAACGCCGTACGAACGATTTTCAGACAATGGAAAAACAGGGAGATTCGTACGAAATTACTGTTCGTACGAACCCTTGTGACCGTAGCATAAGTGAAACAATTCAATTTTAACGCACTTCATCGTATACTACCCTTAAGATATAATTAATGTAAATTGAAAATTGTAAATTGTAAGAGAAAATTTGCGTGCTTTTTGCAAAACAACAGAATCGTTTGGTCCTGTTTTGTTAGAATGCCCAAAGGTAACACTATTTTAATTAGGGAACGCCGTTGATGCATTTATTCGCTGTAACTTCAAATAATCACTGATATTAAGTGCAAATATAAAGCATATAAATATAGTAATTACATACGCACTATACGTAATATATAAAATGTATATGTTAAACTAATTTAAAGGAAAAACGTACGCCTCTCGATATGGCACTTTTTCATCGCATTATCAAATACTCTTTAACATTTTGATATGTGGTTTTAACTGAAGATTATACATGTATTTATTTTCATTTTTTCAATGCAAAGTGAAAGTTTATGAACTATGTTTTTAAATGTTTTCATTTATTGTTTTTGAATGTGTTTATAATCATTTTATAGAACCTTTAATGTTGTTGAAATGTTGATTCTATGATTTTGATTCTTTGTATATTTGAGCTTGACAAATTAAAAAAAATTAAGTCATATTTTAGAGTGTTCTCTACAAAAGAAAAGAAAAAACAATTATTTAAAGGGAGTGTAGCTTGGCAAATACTGGTAAACGCCATCTACGTCTTCTTTTGGACAACTGCACGTAAACGAAGCGACTTAATCTCTACATGGTCAGCGCGCGATAGTGTTCGCGAAACAGACTAAAGTTCCCCTCAAGCTTCGGTTTCGCGTATGTTGCACGCACAATATTGCTGCGGTCGTGTCGTCCGTGGGACCTAGTCGTATTATACCCGATTGGCCCCGAGTCAGGCCCCGAGTCAGGCCACGGGAAAGGCACGAAGTCTCGTCATGCTACACCCCCTTTAACTACATTTTCACTTTATTGTCACTGTCAATAGGAGTCACATTAGTTATCAATCTATTTGTATAGAGTACAATGCCACGCCGGGGCTCGAACCAACAAGATTCGAATTTTCAATCAAGCGTTTAAACACCTTGCAGTACAGCAGAAGTCTGCAACAAAAAAGTCACCCGTGAAATAATGAGGCCAGCATGTGTGGATGAAGACCGATTTCTTTTTCGGGTGTTCGTCTCCGAGTGAAGTACATCGTGCGGTCAGTGGCTCAGCCGACGTTTCAAATGCCTTTTGCAAGATTCAAAAAATATATTTTTAGGCTCGACATCAAATTTATTATCAGGATATGATATTCTTTCCATCGCTGCTTCAAACTAAACAAACGTTTCTTGATCAAGCAATGTTTCAAATTGTCCTAATGCATTTTTTATTAACAGAATTCATCTTGACCTCCACTCTTTTTCAGAATTTTCAATTTCAATTCAGAACTTTATTTTAGACTCCGCTGCACAAGGCAGAGGTCCATAAAACATATGTTACATATAGATAGGGAAAATAGCCGGAGCATGAACATGATAAGTATAATAACAACAAATCGTACAAATACTAAAGAATGTAACAAACTAAACTATACTACGTATGTATAATTTAACTGTAACATTTAACCTGTATCTGTAAAATTGATAACAGAAGGCCTATAGCAATCTAACTCTAAGCTGTACCTGTAACTGCAAGATTAAAATAAATATATGTATAACAAAGTGAAGTTGTAACTTAATTGTAACAATCTCTGCTAAAAAAACTACAACAACATACTAATAATAGATAACCAGATATTATAACAAGCAACAAGGACTAAGGACTATACTGCAACCATAAGAGGCTGGATAATCCTTAATATAACTTTCTGCCTTAAAATGAGGAAAGTCGAGGTGTTTTTGTTCAAGACATAGTTATAAAATTAGATTTTTCTCTTTTCTCTAATTTCTTTCCCACTGAGAGCATAGTTGTGTTTAAAACTGTCCACTGGCAAACTATCAGCGTAGAGAAAATATAGAGAGTCTGTGTCACTGTCATCTTCAACAATCAAGGACCTTAGTGATTTGAACACGACACCGCATAAAACCGCACGCATACCGTGACCGTGCATGCGCACGCACACTCACAGACACCCCACATCCAAACACGCTCAAACTATTCACGCTCCTGAGTGCACACGCACTTTATTTTTGCTTCAGTGATTTAGGAAATCAACACTGGTCAGTTTCATGACACATACAAATAGCCAAGATAAATATACTGATGCTCAAATAATGAATGAATAGGCGATCATGCACCGATAATTTTTGTTAATGCTGCCGGGAAAGGTACACCAGAAGCCCTCAAATTAGAAGTTCTGAAAGTGAAACTTAGTTTTTATTTTTTGGTATATACTACTTCAGTGCTAGATCAAAAAATTATGAATTCGCATATCACAACTACGATCGCAATAAACACTATGATAGCAATTATTGGCACGCTTGGAAACATCGTGATGATAATCACTTATCTCTGCCGGCACGAGGTCCGAGCGACGGGGAATTGGTTTACTATGGCGACGTTTGTCGTCGGTGAAGTTACCTCCTGCGTCTATTATCCGATTCAAATATTGGTGGACATTTTCATCATCGATAATAACCCGGCGTGTATCATTTCAATGTCGATTAGCATTTTGTGTGGGCTGTGCTTTACATTAAACGTCCTGGCTCTGACAGTGGAGCGCTATATTTCGATTTGCAAGCCTCTACGAGCACCGACTATGCTGACTCAACGCCGTATCGGGACTGTCATTTTGGTCATCTTCATTTACGCAGTATTTGTGGGTATGTTCATCCCTATTGCCACGCCAATGGGCTTCAAAGGAAACATTTCTGATGTGGCCAACGGTTGTAGAATTAGCTCAGTTATTCCAAATCGCCGCTACGTCTCTTTCGTGTTTGCCAACTTGCTTTTGCCTATTCCCGTCATGATCATTATATACATTCGCATCTTTCAGGTTGTGCGTCGCCATATTCGTGCTGTTGCTGATCTTACCGTAATCCGACCCCAATGCGAATCGGGTGATCCCTCTGTAGCCGGAGCTGCCGCCGAGAAGAATCGCCGAATGTGGAAACGCGAGGTCAAGTCTGCTGTGCTCCTCTTCGTCATCGTCATCAGCTTCGCCATCTGCTGGTTACCTTTTGTGGTATTCATCCTCAATCGATCCTTCAATAGTTTTGTAAGTCCATTGGCCTATGGTTTTATACATGCAGCTGTCTTCAGCACTGTAGCCATTAATCCGTTCGTCTACGGTTTTGGCAACAAGACGTATCGACAGGCAATATGTTCCGTTTTCTGTGGCCCATTGATGAAAATGTTCAATCTTGATAGTCCGGTGAATGTGAACATATAGATATCCTGTTCATGACAACAGATTTATATCAGGTTGTGTGGTAAAGGCATACAAGTATCGTGCACTACCAGTATAGTTGTACTTGTATTCCATCGACTTCTTTCTTTCTCGATCTATACCTCTCTTTGTTCACACCGACCAAACATCGATCACGCTAAAGTGGTATAGAATGTAGTATTTGATGCACGGTTTACTTAACACAAAGATTGCGACAATCACCTTCGTGTACATTTTGTAATGGATATTCTAGGATTCAACCATTATTTAGTAATGATAGAGATGTATTTACCCAGGAAAGCATTGCAAATGCTTAGATTCTTAAATCCAGGATGTTCCAAGCCGCCGATGTAGACGGAAACGACATTATATACTTCGAATCAACATCAAAGGTAATTGCTTAGCTGTAACTCCAGCTGTAATACATCCTTGGTATACCCAAAGCTGATTGCCAAGTTCGAAACAGTTGTAATTACATATTCTCTCAAGATAATTGCACAAAGGGGATCTTCACTTTCATTTTGTCATCTCCTTTTCTTTGATTCTGGATCAACAGTTTTAAACTATTCTTATAAAAGCTCATTTTGCCAATTGTGCACTGGTGTTCATATGTAGTTCAAAAGTCTTCGGTATTGGAAATTGTTGAATGTGTGTTTACATAATGTTCATTCCAAATCTAATATATGTATAAAAAGTATGCATTTGTTTAGCATAGTTCAGGAAAAACTATTATAAAATAGATTTGTATGTGCTATCCCCTATATTTTTAAATCTTGAGGACGTTACAATGATTTATAGAACGTTTATTTACATCCCAGGAATGTTATGTGCTTCTCGGAAAAGAGTAATAAAAATTCCCAGAATTGTCTGATCTACCCGCTCTCCGAACTTGTAAGTGTACATTAAAGATAAAGGTGAGTTCTGGTGAAAAAAAGTAAAGAAAATTAATTCTCACATAATCAAACGAAACTTACACTGAATGTTCAAGATTAGAAATGAATATCATTTGCTAAGCAATTTTGGTTGAAAGTGTATACTGGCTGAGTAATGAGCATAAAAAGATAAGGAAATCAAGGTTAGTAGCCCTGACACCATTTGTGTAGTCTCATATATATATCTTTCTGTGTACAGTGCTTGTTACTTTACCAATTTATTATGATTCTGATGACTCCAGAACTTTGCAGTTCACAACAATACTTACATGCTATTATGATCAACTTTTCTGATCCATTCCACACCTTTCCTTTCACAATGCAATGGGATGACCAGAACTCAGCTTTATCTTTAAAGGGTACTGAAGACGCTTGTAAGTGGGATTTTTTAAATATATACTTGCGTATACATTATGATACGTGTTGCTACGATATTTGTATTGTCCATCAATAGACAGGGAAGAATTTGAATCTTATCCTACACTTTGTGGCTATTCTAATTAATAATAGCCGAACATGAATCTTAGTTGTCAGTGAAAATTGAAAATCACAATTTGATGAAAATTGATGTTCGATAATCATCATTGGTGAATAGAGAGTAATGGTGATAATAGTAATAACTATTACTCGATAATGGTTTCAATGTGCAATATGTGAATTCTTCGGGTACCTTTACTGCCATCCTTTAGTATGACGTTATATGTAAATGGGCAGGGCATATTTGTATGAAATGTTTTACCATTAGTTGTTCTTGAAAGATTGTCAATTGAATCTATTAAATATTTCAGACTTCAGCATTTATATCTTTAGTCGTGTTTCACAAAATTTGAATGAATGCTTACTTTATTCAATAAATATGTAGGCAAAGTTGAATTTTGCAAAAACCATCTTTTCAGGTACCGTTTAAATGAGCACAAAATGGGAGCAATTCGCCAAAGTTTGCTCTCGAGAATTCAAAAACTTGGGTTCAGTAAAGAGAAGGAAAAGAAAATAATGCTGACACTGTTCTCATTCTCGGTGAGTGATATGAATGAGATAATTATGGTGTTGTTGGTTTCTTGAATTATGATATCGGATAATTCAGGTAATTTATTTGAATTTAGCTGATACATGAATTGACGTAGGTCAAAGAGATATAAGTCAGAATTTTCCAGAATATAAGCTTCATAAAAAAGTTTATCAGTAGGAGCAAAGTGTCCAGTGTTGTTAAGGATTCAAAGTGCCATTTTCATAGTAATACAATTCTCTTCATTTGAGCTTTGGAGGAGTTCCCCCAGGCAAGAATTTTTTTTCCAAGTTCTATGAGAGTTTGTTCGATTTGATCCAATTAGTAACTTCACTTAATTAATTATTTAACGTCAATAGCAATACATTTGGATCCCTATTGCTGTAAAATAAGTTTGAGTCATCTATGGAAAGGATAACAGGTAAATTTCTTAGTATCTAAAGATTTGGGAAAATCAGTAATAACGGTCCGAGAATTGACCCTTGCAGCCAGTCCGCAGCGCCTGCGAATTCGCACGTATTTACACAAGTCGTATATGCTTGTGGCACTCAAAACGTACAATTTTTTTTTTGAAGAATAACAACCATCGATTGTAACAAACTGCTTTCTGGAAAACTAAATAGGTTTTTAACTACCCTATTGTGAGAGTTTATATATGAGGATATCATTGGTAATAGTGACGAATGCCTTGGAAAAGTCCCCCAAAATACCGATGGTTTGTGATTGGTCATCCATAGCTGTAGTAACCTTTAAAATCGAAGTTAATATAGCATGGGAAGAACTATGCTTCTCTCTAAAACCGAATGTGTATTACAGAGGACACAGTGCTCCTTAAGAAATGTTGACACTCTCATGAAAATAGCCTTTTTTCAGAATTTTTAAGAAAGAAGTTAGCAAAGAGAAAGGTCCATAATAATTGATTTTTTGTACGAAACCTTTTTTCTTAAATTTTGCCATTTTCTCATAGACTTTGGTAATCTTCAAGTACATAATGATAACTTTAAAATATGCAACAATTGATCAGCAATACATTGAATTATATTGTTAATCCATACATGAACACATTTCTCATTTAGGGTCAGTAGTGGTTGCCAAATCTTTGCCTAAACTTATAAAATATGAATTAAAACGTTGTGAAATTGTGTCAGGAACTTCTATGATTTTATTATAAAAATAATTTTTTTTGAGTAGTGGATTTTTCTTCATTTTTTATTTAAGACATCAATTATAATTCTCCACTTTTTTTTTCAAATCGTGTTTGTTGACTCGAAATTGCTCAAAATAATTATTTTTCTTTTGGTTTCTTCTTAATACTGAGGCGAGAATATTTTTTTATAGGCAACATACTTAACCCGATGTTATTGGGACGCAATGATCGCAGTGATATAACAATATTTTCACGAGTGGATTGAAAGCATCATCCACGTCTGACCAGTCTGTGCCGAGACCATCTCTAAGCTCATTTAACTTGTAATTATTTAGATTACGATCTTTAACTTCAGGACGTGGAACGAAATTGTTATTATATTTCCAGGGCGATCACGCTATAATCGGAAAGTGATCTGTTATGTCAAAAAGTAGGATGGCAGATTCTGGTAAGGGTAGGGTGTTTGTAAAGATACTGTCGATAAGTGTTGCAGCTCTGTCAGTTATTCGTGTTGGACATTAAATGAGAGCGACAAATGAACCCGATTAAAAGACTTCTAAGAAGTTGATGGTGAAGTCCTCTATAATAAAGCATTGTTTTTTTTCCCAAAGCGGGATTCGATAATACATGTTGGAGGTTTGTCAAAAAATCTTTCTGATAAAATTGAGGGGGTCTGTATGTAACGCCCACAATATGTCCCTACTTCGATGCATGTCTATTTCAATGACCAAAGACTCAATAAACCCATCCATACAATTCGAAACAGATCTTTCAACATAATCAAATCTCTGTGAAGCATATATAGCTGCTCCTCCTCTATTTTGTTTGGACGATTATTGACTATTAAATCATAACCGAGCATATTGTAATACGAACTCGTCAGAAATTCATGTTTATCGTAAGCCCTACAACAGATGCATTTATGTTATTTCTATCCACCAGGCCCTTAAACTGGTCGAAATTCCCGTTCGCACTACTTGTGTTAAGATGCATCAGAGAAAAACATTCTTCAAGTGTTGAGGAAGCAAAGGAATATAAATTTCAAGCAACACATTTTCTTCATCACATATAACAGAAAATGATGTTTCGACATCTTATTGGTTGAAATGTTATACATTCTGACGGATCTGTCCTTTCAAAGCTCAAACATATAACATGTCATTATTTTTTCCCCTCTTATCCTCAAGCGAGGTTTTTATTTCCATAATAGTAATACATATGTACATTAATAACTCAATGATTGAGTGAAACATAACATAGGCTAAATATTTAAAGTATATTCAACAATTCTTCCAGCTTAGTATTATTTTCTTTGCTAACACATTCACATCTTTAAAAAAATCTTAGCAACGACATGAATTAAAAAAACAAAGTATGTGGGTAATAAACAGAACCATTAACAATCTTCTTAACGTAACATTTATAAATTGCATATTGCGCATAATTTAAAAATAATATTCAGAAGTTAATATTTCTTGTTTCCAATATCCTTACCTACAACTATTATCTTCTGGTCTATTTGGAATATATTTAAATATCAAATTACATATTATTTTCAAAAACAAAGTCACATCCTTGCAATATAACATGAAATAAAAAGTTGAGTCAACTTGTCAAAAGAGTTGCATAAATTATTATTAACAATTTGCCATTTATATAAGTTTTCTTTTGAGGCAATAAACCTATGAATCATCTTGAAATTAAATTGTTTAACTTTATTATTACGAATTTGCTTTAATTCAAATAAAATTACATCCTTCCTAACAAAGTAACTATCCAAATCTAAAAAGAAATTCCAAAAGTAAATGATATTTGGTTCTTTTGACTTTTTACGTATTAACAAACGATAGTAATCTTTCACTTTTATAACAAAAACATTCACTTTATCCCCTGTTTCTATTTCTATCATATTCGAAAT